CGTGCGCACGCGCCGCCATGTCTGTTTGACATGCTATTTATATCTAACAGGTAGCCGGATGTTGTCACAGAGCTGTCATTGTGCCAGCACTACACAACATCCAGTACATCCACTAGTACACACTACTTTACTGTACTTCATCCCGCTTGCCAGTGGTTATTGAGTGAGGAGCCACTCAACGGACTTAGTAACTGGGTTGTTAACTGGATATTTCCAATGCAGTCATAGAATAGAATAGAATACAACTTTATTGTACACCATTAATAATATAGTACATACAGTCATATGTAGTATATTCGATTTTAATACCTATACTATAGTTACGATTGAGTCAGTTAAAAGCTAAAATGTCAGTTTGTAAAAAATATCAACGTGAAATAACCAGACAAATAAAAGTACAGCAGTAATGCCTGTAATTAAACCTTAACCTCTTATTTCCTACAACAGCTTGTTAAACTCTGAGCAGCTGCCGATGTACAAGTGTAGAAGGCCACTGGGTGAGCAGGTGAGCAGCAGTATTGTTCCGTAGGAGTAGGTAGTGGCTGCAGCAATCCGCGCGCGCACTGAACCGAACCCCCGCCGCCGCACTAATAATACAATTTGCACCAGACCACAGTTATTACGAGAATGGGATTATTTCACTGGCAGATTACCATGACAATCAAATACATGTGTCTAAAAGATCATAAAAGTAAATAAAACATCACGATACAAATTGATTTAATATTGATATGCACATGTCGATTCCCTCGGCTTCCTCCACCTCACTTGGAAGCCACGTTATGGCCGCGTCATGCTCTGCTCGCCGGGAAATGGATCTCTTGCCAATCACGACTATGTCTACTTCAGTAAATGTGTATAATACACAATTGTTCTCGTAACTTCTACCAAATCACTTTATTTTTCTGTTAATAATATTTCACTTAGAGAGGTACTTATATTAGAACTTAGAAGTGAGAATAAAGTTAAAGAAAATAATAATGGCAGTAGGTACTTACTACAGTACTAACTTAGCTACACATTTTTTATACTCGATGTGTTGATGTTAGACACTATCTGGCCTGGTGGTACGCCATGATGCGGCCCAATGATGGAGCACGTACCTATGCTTATAAGCAACCTATTCACTGGAAACGTGAAGATTGGAATAGCGCAATGTCAGTATGCCTGTAGCTACCTATACTTCATCTCTACAACTGTGTTAGAAACGGCATCCCCTAATCGGCTAGAATTTAATAAAGTAAATGAGAAGATTCGTTGTGTATTCTACATCAACCTTATTATGTTGAAATTATTATTAATAATAATATAAAATATTAATAATCGCTGATTTTAATGAAATTGTATATAATTTTTATACATATAAAATTTGTACACCACCATTAGCGAAACATGGACGCACAAACTATTTAACATTATCTTGCATGTCTGATTATTCAGTTTATGTAAACGCATGTTTGACAAATAAACGATCTTTCTGTCTTCTTTCTTTCTTATATAGGTAACTGAATGCTCAGTGTGTAGATATATGTACAAAGGACAGTGGCGGAAGGAAATAATTATACTTAATGAAAATATTTGGTACAGTGTTCCTACCTGACGGTTAATTTCCCGTCACAGAGGTTAAGAATAGGACGAACCGAGCCACATGCAGATCTAGTCCATCGTCAAACTACAAACTGTAGAAACATAAAAAGCGTAAAGCTATCAGAGTGCGCGTGTTTTATATTCTGACATTAATTTGAAGGCGAGCGCGATATCTTGACGGGCCGATATCGGAATCTGTTACGTTCCGCACCACCTTTGCTAATCTGAACTAAACATTTAATTTTCGTGAAAAATGCAGCTTTAACGACAGCTATAAATATGAGCTATAGAAAAGATAAAAGCTGAACAATGCTGTGGGGATTATAAATCGCGGCCGGGAGCGGGGGCTGAGACAATCGAGTATTAACCACGCCGGCTGAGCGCGAACAATGCGCCTTATACGTTATTTATTAAGGTTATAACGTGCGCGGCCGCACCCACCGACACTCTTGTATATTCTACGATATAATTTCATACAAACGAGCTTGTTATTGATATTTTATTCGTGCTATATTATTAATATTATATTTCGAGAGCCGCTCATTCACTCGCCATCTTGACACAATTCAATAAACAAAATTAAACATTTTTCTGATCCGATGGACAGATGATGAAATGATGACTCTGTGTTTTACTTCTCTCTATAAAACACATAATAAATAAATCATTACCTGTTGCTAGAAAATCATCCCAAAGTGATACATAATAAAACAGGTACTAACTACAACTACCTACTACATTGTTATAGTTTTCAAATAATTCAAGAAGTAATGTTCATAGTATCTGTGACAGGTATGGGCGGGTGCGGCCGGGCGGCAGGCCAGTGTATGCGCGAGGTGTAAGGTCCACAAGTGCACACACATTACGCAACGTATACAATGGGTCCCTAACTCGCTTTTAAACGAACGACTTTCTAAAGAATAGGAAAGTTGAGAAAATCACCTGCATTAACTAACTAACAGCCTCGCGTCCAGCGTCACACACACCCGAGACTTGTACCTACCTCTGACTGTTCTTAGACCAATTACTTATTTTCAAACTATTTAAAACACGGTTACGAAATGAAGTTTTCAGGTGGGTAACTAATACGATATTATAAAAAATACGATTCTCGTAAACTAATAACAAACCCCTACAGTTTCAAATCACACCGTGATTTTTATTCTCCGTAAGTCGTATCTTTAATTAATTAATTGTGGGAGAGCCATGCATCGCCACGAATGGGCCGGCTCGACCGGAGTGATACCACTCACAGAAATCCGGCGTGAAACAACGCTTGCGTTGTGTTTCGTCATATGAGTGAGCTCACCGGAGGCTCAATTACCCCCTTCTCCAATCTTCCTAATCCCTGAATCTCCAAAAATCCTCAAGTTCCTAATCCCTAAAAGGCTGGTAACGCACTTGTAACATCTCTGGTGCATCGAGTGTCCACGGGCGGTGGCGATTGCTTACCAGATAGTTTGTAATGTAGCCATTGCTAGTGTTTTAAAAAGGGCACGCATTTCTTCATATTTAGTTTCATTTATTTGTGATTATGTAAATTCTAAAGGTGTGAACAGTTCGAGTGGAGTCGTTATGAATGCTCCTGTTTGCTATTAAATATTCACGGTTTAACACTATGTACTGATGTACATAGCACATATTCTCAATTTACTAGAACATAGTAATCTACAGTCATTAGTAGGTTTTTCTTAAGTGAAGCAAATCGGTACAGAGTCTTATTATTATACCTACGTCGGTAATTGTATCGGTAACTGAGTGGTTATGTGTTACTATACCTAAGTAGGGAAGTACACATACTACACACACACGATAAATGAAAGGACGTACCCCGTAAAAGTATTTGCTACTATACCAAGTAAAGAGACTACGTTTTGTCGAGAAAAAGACAGTGGACAGGTTGCGTGAATACGGGATGAAAGTTAAGGTTTTCAAAGACTAGCAAAGGCTAAACCTACAATATTATAAGTACATTCCACTAAAGGCTATGGTCCTGAAGGCTGACTCCCTCACAACGCGGCATGAATCAGAACAAAGCCAATAGTTGTGCCCGTCGGCAGTCGGCACGTTTGTGCGCACCGCATCATTTGCTACCGCCAATTTGCTCTCATCCGCTGCGCCCGCGCAAACGGGCGGCGACTCAAAGCCCAACCACAGTTTTTACACAAATAAGCGACATATTTGGGGTAATTAACAGAAAACGCCCGGCGGCGGTGCGCGGCGTCACTCGCTTTTTGTGACCATCATCACGACACGGGAGCTGATGAATTTCATCTCTGACATATGTTTCCGAGTCGCGCACTATTCGAGTTTTACGAGTATTTCAGGAATTTTTCAGATTTAATTGGCTTTTGAGCGGCGTCCTTCTGAAATAATGTCGCGGTTTATTTGTTAATGGTTGAAGGTAGGGATGGTATATTATATAGAGGTCGTAATGTCGGTATCACGGAACAGCAATATATGGATTTCATTAATGCAATGCGCGTGTGTTTCACGTACTTAGGTTTGCTTTCAGGTTTAGAATGATTGTGCTTTCTAAAGTTTAGTACCTGCGTAAGTATTGCGCAAACGCAGTTATCTCGTATGTTTGCGTAAATTAATGAACGTGCCGACATTAAATCATCTGGTACATGAAACGTTTACTGGTGCGCTTAGCATTTGAATTTTCAGCAACATATAGCCAACAATTAATTATGTTCTTATCAGATGAGAGTGCTGCCGCGCCGTGCGCCCGCGCCGCCCGATAGCTCGGTACACTGCGAGTTCAATTGATTAATTGTGAACATGTTTCATAACGACCAACGCGAGCCTAATTAAAATTCGAACATAAGTAGCTCGCTGCAACTAACTGGTGTGTCCAGAATGTCGCCGTATCAGTGGCTCGCATCATTCTCAGTCACAGTACATTAGTTAGCAACACGAATTAACGAACATAAAAAATATCAATTACAAAGAGCGTACATAGTACATAGAGGTGTGTCGAATCCCAGCCGCATACATACGTCGCGTCGTCGCTCCCACCAGCGCGGGCGCACCCTGCCTACTCGAGCGGCACGCATTTTCCTCGGCTCTCGTCTCGCTCGCTGCCCGAGCGCATCCGACCGAACGGGAAAACAGACATATTTCTCCTCAACGTCATAATCTGAACTCAACCTTATTCAAATGAGGTATGGTTTAATTTTATCTGGCAAAATTAATGATGCATCAACACGCTTCAAATAGAACGCGACATGGAAAAAGGAAAGCGTTCGAAATGAAGCGCGGCGATTGGCCGGTGCGGGCCAATGGCAGCGGGGGGCGGGGCGGGTGGTCGCTGGCAGTGTGTCGGCGGCGCGCGCGCACATGTGGCGGCGAAGCGTCGCGCGACGAACGTGAGTGCCGCGGTGTCCATGTGAAGTGAAGTGACAACTGACATGATGCTGGGCGGCATGGACGGCAAGGAGTACGGGGCGCTGCACGCCGCAGCCGCCGCCGCGGGATACGCTATGGATACAGGTGAGTCTGCTCACCTCATACTCCAACCATTATTAATTGTTTTTTAATTGACACCGCTGAAAAATTATATAGGTACAAGTACATTGTACCAAACCAAAAATCATGAAAGCAGTACTTAAATAATTAATCCAATATTTTCATATACCTAATTAATCAGTTATTTACTCATAAGATTTGGTATGCTTTTATAAATAAAAAAAACTTGTTACTGAAAATATAAAAATACGATTGTACTGAAAAACTGAACATTTTACAAAGTAGGTTATCTATGTGTACAAGTTTAGTTAACTCAAAGTTAGGGATACAGCTTCTGTTCTTCAGGATAATTACCTACATTTACATTAGAATAAATTTTCTGTTCGTTATCCGGAAATTCCTGAAGAATTACTCCCAGTTGCTACATTGTTCAACAAGGCAAATGTAGTAAGAATTCAAATAAGTGCTACGAAACTTAATATATTTCTGAAATAAGCATTTATCGAATCATTACAATACTTGAAAAATGTTTAACATACAGATAATAATAGTACTGATGTATTGTAATGACAAAGTAAAAACTGGTCCTAAAACAAATGAAGCGATACTAACTACCAAATAAAATACAGTTTTCCTTAAACCATTTGCAAGGTGGGACCTACTTACCTACTACAGTAAAAGAGGTCTGTACACCTTCTGAAAGAGGTAATTTTGTAAATCTAAATAAGACTGTAAGACTGACTCAACTCAAACAAAGAAAAAAAGGGAGCATAGACAGAAAGAATTAGAAAACCTTTCTATTTAACACAAATAAATCTTAATTAAAATAAAATGGAGTAGTTATCCTAGAGAGCATAGGCTAATGATACTTTCTATTAATAGAACCTTTTATCATCTGGACACAAGTAATAATGTGACAAGTTCAGGTACATAAGAGGTACATAGCAAACCCATGTACAATTTGTATTAATGAAAGTAAAACACGGTGTAAGCGCTGGATGCCATTTGCTTGACATGTTACTTAAGATGGCGGCGTGTGTAGTACAGCGCAGGCGCAGTAAACAGAGAGTGAACAAGTAATTAAATTAGAAACAATATTTGTCAAACAAACACGACATGAACTCGGAAATGTTACCAGTTTTATTAGTAAATAGCCATGTACCAACTAATACATAGCCGTAAACAATTTTCAGCGAAAGTAAATATTGAAAAGGGAAAATCGAGAAAAACATTCGAGTTTCTTTGTTGTTACATTGAGAACTAAAATTTCATGTAAACAGGTATACCAACGACCGATTTGAAAAAAAATCAGGACGTCATTTTTTCGAAACCACATATGTCATTAAAGATCTTGAATGAAAATAATAATATCAAAACGACAATGACAATGATGTAATGATTATTATATGATAATATGGAAATTAAAGATTAGATTACTTTTGTGTACGTATCGATGACTCGTAGTCTCGTAGTAGATTCGTAGCAAACGGTGAACTATATAAATAGATAATAATTAATCTAAAACTGTGTCTTTTAGTTTGTTCAGTTGCAATCAATTTCTATTCTAAACATGGGCATAGATATTAACTTTGAGAATACTATTCACATACAAAATACATAGTTCTGAACCTAAAATGTGGTCATACACGAGCAAAAGTGAATGACCTCTAGATATTTTCGAAACTGTTCAAAAAATGCAATAACATTACAATTGTTTTTCTCCAAACAAATTAAAATTGGAAATTGAGATTTGATCTCTGGAAAATAAAGTTTTGCGACAAATATTTTCTTTTCCCGTAGTAGAGTGCTGCCACAGCGAGCGAACTACTCACATGTAACCTTAGTAAAAAATATTATTTAAGTAGTAAGAAAAGAAAGCTGTAGGAATTATTTATGTGGCAAGAATGTAATCTAATTTTAGTAATCAGCAGTTATTACCGAATTCGTTGTTAAAATAGTTTTATGTTCATGAGGTCGCCATTTGAAACTTTATGCGAGATAAGATAACCTATTGAACCGGTTCGATCCAGTATACCGTCGAACGAGCCCACTAGTTTGTTTTCAGCTCTTTTTCTGTACTTTCATGACGTTTTCAGGGTCATTTATGTGTAGAATACGGTAAATATGCGGTTTTCTATATAATTACTACAATGATGTTTGGAATTGAAGGAACGATATTATAAAGCTCCTTTTACGATATAACTTGCATTAAAGAATCATTTTATTAGGAGAAAAATATAGTCCACGTACCACCAGGAGTATTTTCTATTAAATATCAAAACAAACGTGCTTTTAAATATAAAAATGTTATGAATTTAATGAAAATATCTTTTAAATGTAAGAAGCTCAACATTACCTATAAACAATTCAACGATTATGAAACATACTTATACTAAAAACTAGCTTCAAAAACGTTCATAAACTCACTGTATCTTTATATTCGTGTTAATATTGCAACCAAGCTCAAAAACCATAATAGGGCGTCAAAACCTTTCGCCCTTAAAACCTTCATTGTTTTCAGTTATCAAAAATCTAGCGAATGACGGGATGAGCTGATGACGTACAAACAGCTGATACACAAGCTGAGTCAAGCGAAGCTATGTTTGTTGTGGTGATAAAGAACAACACATGTTTACCAATAGCTTGCACAATTAATTAGCGCCGCTCACAGATAGTGATGTGACGCAAACTGTCGATAACTCAGGTCGCACTCGATAAAGGGTCAATATCTCACCGTAAAACATGAATGGCATCATTGCACGTACGCAAATTAATTTAATTCTCTCATCGTGGGAGAATATTCCCAACTCTCTTTGTTAGCACTTGCAGTTACTACGAAATACTTTTCATAAGTCCACGAGATCCGCATTGCATCATCAAGTACATCAATATAATCACTTAACTTGTTATCTTTATCATAATTTTCATATCTCGCAGACATTAGATGTAATAAAAAATGATAAATACCAATTAATCATGATTATATTACTACCCGAGTAATTTCAAAGCTACCGGTGCTTGCCCGATCAGTGAATACAAATCATACGATCATTACCAACTTGAGGAGATGACGCAGAGATATTGTCCAACTTGCGTCATTACGTAAGGTGAAATGCGCTCACACATTGTCCATTGACGTTAATTTCTGTTTTACATTAATTAGCGTGTGTGTTATCACTGTATCAGTAGCTTCGAGAGAAGTTGATTAATTCGCGCGTCATTTCAGACAGGACAGCAAGCGTTAGATTTTGAACTGTTGTCTGCTCGATGGTCTGTGTGTGATGTCAATTTATTTAATTAAGAGACGTGACTGTAATCTAATATAATGTAATGTTTGACGCAGTGTCTGGCTTTTGCGAAACGTATTGTCGGTATCGATTTAGGCTAAAACCTTATTTCATTAAAAAATATTAACTGTATGGAGGTGGCACGTAACCAGTGCTGTAGTGATCCGCTCGTTTATAATACGAACTTACTATGACAGTCTTTACAACCTTCTGCTATATTTAAATGGAAAATCACGTTCGATTCCAACCTCAGATCTTAAGCTTAAGATCCTAATAGATTTTGTAAGTGGTCTTCCCGACAAGACGTTCTTTGTTCTAAGCTTCGAACTGCAACCCGTCGCTGAGCTTAGAGAAACACTCTCTTAGCCTCTTATGAAGTGAAGACTCAGTAGTAGACTTCCACCTGTTGACATTGTTCAAGTTACATTGTATTATTTTCACATTTCTGTCTGATTTTCCTAGTTAAAACACATTTATGACAGTTTCGATATCAAGCTAATTTGTTCATTTAAATTAATTCTAAAGATATTGACTAAAGTGTAAGAAACACAGTTCTGCTAACTCCCCAGAACTCCAGTCGCAGTGATAGCATTAGTTATGATAAGTGTAAACACTTAGTTGTATCCAGTTCGCGATAAGCTTACTACGGCATATAACTGTAGGTTTTGTGATACCTAATAGGTATTCTGGAGCTCATATCTATATCTTCACTAATATCAAATTAACTTGCAGGTCTGTCCATCTGTAATTATCTATTCCCAAAATGTCAAAATATATTTGATTGGATGGGAAAATGGCTTTTCTTTCAATTTATGTTGTGAATATACAATAACGTTAATTTTGAAATAGTAATTAATCACTATAAATATTGTATTACTGATCGGCACCTCGTAGTACTAGAATTGTTCTGAAGAGATTCTGTTAAGTTTTAGAATAAGAGTTCAGAGAATTGTGGAATAATATTAAATTAAATTATAAATGCACCTGTAAGTTATTTTATGCCCATTATTAATTACAGAGTGTTAAAAATAAAAACAATTTTTGACGTGTTATATTTTTAGTTTTGTTCAGTAAATCGTTAGTGTCACCCTGTAATATGTTTTTACCTTTCATCAACACTTTCAATCGTGGTTTCTTCTGTCCTGAACCCTTGACATATTTCTATCGAACTGCCATTTACATTCAATCATTATTCATTACGGTAAAGTGCATATTACAATATTTATTTGTTATACTCATAAAAATGTCAAAGTGTAATTTGTAGTCAAAAAAGTTATACGTATTCAATAAACAACAATGTTATCTCGATTGAAAAAATAGTAGTTAATTACCTGGTTTATTTAAAATTGGCATAACGGCGGCGCAGACGCAGCGCCGCACTAAACGCGCGCGGTTTATCGATATGTCAGAGGGCGTCAAGGGTTATCGATAACTGCGATAAAACGGCACCGTTGCGCGTCACTAAAGTTATTGTATAACTATTATACTTCACTAAAATCTGTTTATGTGTACCATTTTTGATGCGCAGTTCAGTTAACGTGAAGTTATGAAAACATATGGAAATTAATGATTTTTGCCACGCCCAGAATGTACGAGAACATTATTGTAATAAAATATCTTGGCAAATATTCGAAAGATATAATTATGGGTATGGGTAACAACCGTCAATGAAGTTAGAGAATTTTTCCTGATTGAACCACAAAAAATTAGGTATACGAATTTATATTTGTTTATGTA